CCAGGAAAAATACCAGTATGTACAAATTAAGGAAGGCTCTGGAATTGCAGTTTTAGTAAACATGAAACTCAAGCAGTAAGACAAGTAAGATAAACTTCAGATTTCTGATTCTCTGTCTTAATCTCTCTGTCTTTTCTACTGTAAACAAAAAAATACTAGTGAAGCTGATTTACCAAAGAACAAAGGTTTTTACACAATAACAAATCATTGGACAATTGACATAGACAGAAACATATACTGTACTTTTCTTTGTCATGAAATCTGTGAAGAAATCATCCCAGGTCTCATAGGAGGGAAGAAGTGCCAGGGCATTGGAAAAATGGTAATAAGATGTAGCAACATCTTTTGGATTCCGAATCAATAACAATATCTAGAAAAAAATTGAAAAATTATTTATAGAGAAAGACAGAGCAGACTACAGCATAAAAAAAGAAATAACAATAATATATTCTATAACTGCAGTTGGGGATTTCTAATACCTTGTGTGCTCCTTGCAGAAGTAGCAATTTCATTCCCAATTCAGAAGGTGCAGTATTTAACTTTGCTTTGGTACCATAAGAAGATGGTTGCCTACAATTATTACCTTTTACAGATTACCAAATAATTTATTCAGAATCTAAGTATGCTTTGCACAATACAAGCATAATTCATCATTTAAGTGGCAGGGAAAATTCACAAAAATATAAATTCTCATGGAAATTTGACACATTGAAGCCCTCACTTGTAACAATGCCATAAAATTGCTCCCACATGAAATCACATCAAAATCCATTTTGCCTCTGGAGGATTTGTTCAAGCCCTTCAACCCTCTTGTGGAAACTGACACATAGGGGCCAATAAGGGCAAACTGTGGTTAAGTGAGGTGAATGGCAGTTCTTAAATATGTAGAGCCTTAAACACATAGAAATGGCCAGGCTAAAAACTTGTGTAAAAAAGAGTGATTCTGAAAATTGGCAAGAAAGCACTACATTAGCTCTTTATAAAAAAAATAATCCACTGAATTGTTTGTTTTAATACATTAAAATCAACACTCACCTTGGCATTTGTTTTGAAGATAGATTTGGGAAGATTTTCAGGACGGAGATGAGTAACCATAAATCTTGGAGAAGGTAATTTGGTCATTCGCTTGAAGAATTGGAAGGAGGAAAGTGGACAGTTCAGTTAGTACAAGTATTCTTTTCATTACCTATGCTAAAATGTGGCCTTGATGAACTTATCTACAGTTACTGACTCCTTGAATTATTTTGTTTTTTTTTTTTTTTTTGTTTTTGTAGTGAGTGTTGTCCTGGGATATTAGTGGGATGCTCTGAGTAGCACTAATCATCACAAGTCCATGAGCAATTGAAAAAAAGACTACCCATTGTTTGTTCTCTTCAGTGATAATCTCTCTTGTTCTTGTAGAGAAGGGATCAAATGTAGAGGTTGGGTACAGATTAGCTGTTTCTGTGGAAGCTGAAGCATCTCAATGACTGAGAGAGGGGAGGAGAAGGAGGAAGAGCTAGTGAAAGAGACAAATGCTAATATTACATGATTTGACACTTCATGAAGCTCTTCTTAAGTACAAAAGATGCTATATTGAATTTCTGAACTTACGTCTCACAGCTATGTTCTCCTCTCAGCCCCAATGAAGTGTCTGTTTATTTGTATGTGTTCAGTATTTGACAGGCCAGGTGAGATTACTCCTGACCAGATGCCACATAAAAAGGAGTGGTAAAGTTCTTATCAAACAATAGAATAGATCATATATCATATATTCAGTATTTGAAGCACATAATGTTGATCATTTCCATACATATTCTGTTCCCACCTCATATTTCCCAGCATCTCCAACTTCGAAGTATGCTTCTTCTTCTGGTTTTTCAGCATTCACAGTGCTTTCACTACCTGGTGTTTTCTTTTGAGATATGGCTATCAGATCAGTTAAGATTTGACTTAGCCAGTTTGTGCCTGAAAGAAGAAAAATACAGAAGTGGTTGTAAAACTTTTAGAATGGACAGAAATGGATTTACCAGGGAAGCCAAGAGGTGCTAGTACTACCAGGTGAGTTACCTGGTCTCCTTTCATGTTATACAATCACAGCTGACTGTCTGGTCAATCACCACCCAGGATCCACCTTTGCTCCTCATAAGGAGATATTTCTCCAACTTGAACACGTCAGTACACTGTAAATTAACTTGTATACTGTAAACTGACTAATCAGGGAGAAGAACCACAGAGATTCAACTAGGAAAACTGGCATAAATTAAGCTAGGAAAAACAGGATGTAATAAATTTTATTATGACACATGTAAAGGAGACTGGGGTGGTAAGCTAGTACTTTAAAACCTAATACATAAAATGTTTTGTGGTGTACTGGAATACCTTCAGAAGAAAGATGGGTCACAGTACTTCAAGACAGGAGCAGAACGAGATCTGAAAATTGTGTGCACATTTTCTTTAACAATCACAAAAACCTCTCTGAAGTGACATTTCCTAGACACACTTGTTATCTTTTCCTTCAAAAGATAACAAAGAGCCTGCATACATCTCCCATCTCTGATTTACCATGTCCTGACTTCTGGACACTGGGTCCCTACATCTTTCTCACTGCAGTCTTAACAAGTGCATTCCAGTGCATAATATTTCTTCAAAAAGAAAATACAATGAAATAGCAAAAACTTTACAATCCTCTCAGCTGTGACTATCCACTGTAAAGCAGTGTGAACCAATTGCTGTAAGAGAGAGAAACAGCAAGATTAAAGTGTATATGAGGCAGATCTGATCCAAACCTTTGGCTTTCATGCGGACCAGTGCTTTGAGGTAGACTGAGGAAATGCGTAGGGTAAACTTGCAACCCTAGGAAAGATGTCCTCTTGATTTTCCTTAAAGAATACTTAAAAACAATGTAATCACTTCAAGGACTACCAAAATATTTTTGATAGATATTTCCTTATATCTATGTGAAATAAACCAAAGAAGATGGAATACACCATTTGAAGGCACCAAAGGCTCCATTGTAAAAATATAAAGCTCTTAACTTCACCAACATACATGTGGGAGTAGATCATGGAATATCAGGAGATCTAGTTACCTCCGGTGTAAAAACCTCTCCAATTTGTGCATTTAACTTTATAACTATGAAAAGTAAAAATAACAAAAACCTTTACATGCTATAGAAAAGAAAATCAGAATGTTTTTCACAGTCTTTTTTTACCATATCAAATATTCATAAACAATTTCTGATGCTTTCTGAGAATAAAATCGGTTTTACAAAATTTGGTGAACATTCTAAATACAATTATTTAGCATAATATCATATCATGTATCATACAATATATATTTAATATATTTAGTACAAACCTTGTTACTTACTATTACAGAACCTTGTTTATAAAAAAACTAAAATATATTCACCGGATTTAGGGTATCCTGCCAAAATTACATCATCCTTTCTGGCTTCAAAGGACTCAAAGGCTTTGAAATTTTCAGGACTGCAAACAGTAGTAGGGTAGAGAATTCCCTTGTAAGAAAAGAGCAGTTCATCACGACGCATGGAGTTGGCAGCTGCTACTGCCTCATCTAGCAAACCAACAGGGTTTGTCCTGGATTTCTCCATTCTTCTTCTCTCTCTCACACACAGGCTCTGTCACTGAATTAACAGCTGTGTAGAAGGAGAAACCCACAGATTGTCCTTTAATAGGTGCTTGGTTTGTTGTTCTCTTTTTTTTCTTGACCCTATGAACAAGAACATACCTCATTCTGAAGCTGTAAAAATGTATACAGCTCCTGTAAAACACATTAGGTAATAGAAACCTTTGAAATCAATAGAAGTTGATCATAAATGAACAAGATAAATGCAATTGCATTCTAGGATAAAGGGCTGAGATAATTTCTAAACATCATGCCAAAAAGTCTGTGATTACAACTCAAAGTTTATAAACAGAATATAAGAAAATAGAATGATGTTTAGTTAGATAGAATAGAATACAGATTGGAATTGAAATGCCATGATCAAAATCCTCAAGGCAGTTAACTTTTTTCCAGTATTCACTGCAGAGATTTTCTTTTTTCTTTATTATATCATTCATCATTCTCCCCAAAGTTAGATAAAATGTGTTGGGATTGGGAGAGAAGATGTTCAGTGCACTAGAGACTGAGCTGAGGACACTCCTGTGAGTGTGGCCGGCTGCTCCCGGCCGCTGGAGCCCAGGGGGGCACAGGGGCACAGGCACTCTTGGGCCACTCATCAGACTGCACTACAGAGGTCTGTTTTCCTGGTGGTTACACAAAAATTACTCATTTCTACATTTCTTTAATGAGCTCAATCATTGTTTAACAACTGATCAGTGCTTAGGGAGGTGATAACAACATAACCTCAACTATGGTGTGTAGTGTTTATCATGCACTTCACATGATGAGCTGCTGACTGCAGTGACCCCAGTAAAGGAACTGGTTTTAGGCTCAGGTTCAATGTTTAAGTCTCTGGCAAAAGGATGGATATGTCACAAAAAAATGAGACAATAGTTCTCCCCCAAGAATTTACATGCCATCCTTTCTTATCTCCATCTCTTGACTGCTGCCTGTTGGGCACTGGAAGGAATCAGACCAGCAACTACATACCTGCATGCATTTGCCATTTGCTCTCCCCAAGGGATTCAAGGGAGATCCAGGGCTCTCCCTGGTCCCTGAGCCATAATGCTGTGCCCATGGGATGATCTAGCCCTACATTTTTACATCTACTTTTTCCAGTCCATACAAAATCCTTTGCTTTTCTCTTCACCCCCCTGCTTTCTGTAAAACACTGTCAGCATAGAAAGACTACCTATGTACAGGCATAATCTGAAACCAGTGGATATCACATGGCCTGGTCCATCTGATCAATGACGAGTGCCAAAGGGCACAAAGTTGGCATCACCTGCACCATTTATTTCACTGACATCAGCAAAAAATGGCTGTCCTATGAAGTAGCACTTCTGGTGATTCTTGATGTGCAACTAGCCAACCTAGCAAAGCAAAAAGCAGCTTACTGTTCATCCTTATACTCCCTTGGCAATAAATTGTCATAGACTGAAAATAACAAAATGAGTTTACTTGGTATTTTTACATCCTGGCCAAACAAATTATATGGGAAAAGCCTTCCTAAGGGTGGAAAAAGTGGGAAAATGACATGTAAATTATGAGTGTCACTTTATGCACTAGCATCGTGTTGCAGTAGAGTTTCCAAAATGTGAAAAGTATTCCAGAGAAAACTACCAAGGATTTCCAGTGTATTTTTGCAAGAAAAGGCAATCAGGCCAATTATTCCTGGGAAGCATATTTTATCGTAAGAAACAAGAAAAAAAAAAGCCAAAACCCAGAATTGGGGAAGAAAAACATAATAAGAAAAAAAAAAAAAGGAGAAGAAATTTGAAGGCAAGCAAAATTCCTGAACAAAAAAAGAAGCAGGATCAAGATTTCTTAAAGTGAGCCTTTGATACAGACATCGCTCATGACACCTGAGGTGAGAGACAGGAGGAGAAGTGCCTAGCCCCACGCATGTGGTACAAGACCCTCTGAGCCTGCTAAATAGTGAACCCAGAGACTGACAAGAAAGCATCACCTGATTCAAAATTTCTAAGAAGTAGCTTTAAAACATGCAGTAAAAGCAAACAAAAACAGATAAAGTGATTTGATTCTCTCCAGATTAATGGTATTTGTTATTCAAGCCACCACTGTTACTCTGAAGGTTTCTGACTTCCCACACTGACCAGACCTGGTTATGGAGCTTTGCAGAAGGAGGCTGGAGACATTTCTGTGACAGCTACAGGACAGTGCCAGCTGGCCCTTACATGGTGCACAGTTCTGCTCATGCAGATTCATTCCCTGTTAAATGAAACAGCTTCAAAGAATGAAAGCTTCAAAACATGCGCTCCCAAATGCTAAATAAGAAGAGGTATGCTTTTATATTTATTTCTGTGATCTGCATTTATCTCAGTAAAACTCTGGAGAAGGCGTCCAAAAATTAGTTCTCTATAACAACCTACTCCGTGTTTAGGTAGTTCCATTATGATTGATGCCTTCAAGAAGGGACCCAAAAACTCCCCTCATCATTGATCTGCAATAACAACAACAACAACAAGAACAATAACAGCAAAGAAAAGCCTGCAAAGGTCGTGAGATGCCCTGAGCTTCTGTGATTGAGCCCACGAGAAGCTGGGCTTAAAGTAGAATTTGCTCTACAATGGAAATGTCATATGCATCATTTTCCTCTTGGAATAAGTTAGTGTGGATCTGATCAGAGGAGAATCAAAGCCTTCAAACTGAGCCCAGGGGGTTAGGATGGCTTAGGTTATGAGGCCAAAGCTGTCTGCACACCCACAAAGGAGCACAGCACAGCAATGAAGGGGGAATCAAAACATTACCCTGCCCACATACTCCCATAGCATCAGCTCATCCAAGGCCTGTCTCCACAAGCTCAGAGGAGCTCAGGCAGAGTGGGATTAAAATTAAGGACTCTTAATAAAGGGACTGCACCCTGTCCACGACCCTTCTATGGCTGTTCCAGGAGAGCTTCAGACCCAGTGTCCTGGTGGGAAGATGGTCCATCAAAATGATCAGTGCAGGAGAACTTTTGAAGACTGGCAGGGGCTGCTGTCTGGGGGTATAGGCACATAAAGAAATGCAGAGGAACAATCTTTCATGATTACACGTGACCTATTATGTCAGGATTGCATGACATTTTGTAGCAGCCTGCATGATACTAACAATGTTGTTTTTACAATATAGAAATTACTTAAACAGAGATGAAAACTAATCCTTAGTACCAGATCAGGGTGGATTTTCTTAACTTCTCTAAAAGACCCTTTTGGCCAGAGAACTAATGTGCTGTAAACTTTTCTAGGATTCTCATTCATATTTTATATTCATCTAGATTAGTAGAGTCTTTTTCATGCTGGTCACCTTTCCTGACCAGGTCAAAGCTTGTCATAATATCTGATTGCTCTACTATAGATTATTTACACAAGCATATCTTGCTCTTTCTTCTACCCAGAATTTCCCTGCTTATCTCATATATCCCACGATCCCCAAATTCTAGATGCTAAAATGTCTCTAGCTTCTTTTCAGCATTTATTCTCTCTTTCATTTCCTCTTCTGTATATTTGGTATCTGCCAACTCCTTCACCATTTGTTCAAGCCAATTGGTTCCTGAAAGGATAAAGACACCAGTAGGACATCCATTCCACTTCACTTTTTCATGTACACCTGGCAGATGTAAGTCCTGTCTAACTGCTTTTAAGTGAATCAGTTTGGTTCAATGTTGTACTTTAATCTTTTAACAAGAGTGTGCGCTGATTTTCACAGCAATGGAATTAATTTTCCCCATAGTGGCTGGTATGGAGTTATGTGTTGAATTTGTGCTGAAAACAATGTTGGTAACACAGAGATGTTTTAGTCATTGCTGGCAGTAATTACACAGTGTCAGGTCCTCCTCTGATTCTCACACTGAGCTGCCAGAGAGTAGCTTGAAGGTACACAAGAAATTATAAGAGGACACAGATGGGACACCTGACCCCAACTGATCCAAGGATTATTCTATCCTATATGGAGTCATGCTCAGCAATAAAATGTGAGGGAAGAAGAAGGAAAGAGAGATGCTGAAAGCTAAGGCACTTGTTTTACCATGTCACTGTCATGGGTGATGGAGCCCTGGACACAGCTGAACATTTGACTGGTGGAAGGACAGAATGAATTCTTTACTTTGCTTTGCTTGCACACATAGCTCTTGCTTTAGGTATTTAATTGTCTTTATTTCAGCCATGACTCCTCATGTTTCCCTCCCCCATCCCATTGCAGGTGAAAGAGTGAGTGGCCCTGTGGGGCCACTGAGTTGAGCTGGGAGTTGCCAGCTGAGAGTAAATCACAGCCCTGGTGAATAATCAACCCCTTGGGTCTGCCCAAGGTCAAAGGGGCAGAGCTGTTGAGCAGATACTGTGGAGTGCTACCCTGCTGCCTTCAGGGTCACATCTCATCCCTTGGCAGAAGCAGACCTCTATTGCTCTTTTCAACTCCTTTCAACTTCCCTACTTATTGGTTACCTCACACTACTCCCAAAATGGATACACATCCCAGGATAAAGGTTCCTTACAGGCAATGGCTCTGTCCTGCATCCAGGCACTGTAAGGCAATGTCCAGACCTGAGGACAGGTATCACCCAAATCAGATTTCTCAGGATGAAATACTCACATCTGAGAATTTTGTGTCATTAAATCTAACAGGAGGGACACTTGCATGTGAAGTTTCAGTGCAATCGTGTGAATCAAAATACACTTGTACTATTTCACTTTTATTTGCCTCTCCTCATATCCATAATTATATCTTTGGAGGAAATTCTTCCTTCTCGGGCTGTTATTTGTATTCTGGAGGACACCTTTTTAGAAGGTAAGGAGTGCTGAGATGGTGAAATGGGTATTTCCACTGGTCATCCCAACAGAGAAAGGCAATACAGGAAGGTGAATTACCCTGTGAAAGGACCTTTCACTTTCCTTCATGCCCTTGAATATACTATGGGTCTCATTCACTACACATATATCAAACCCTCTTATCACATCCTTGTCTCTTTCTTCATAAATGGATGTTAGACACAAGATTTATTAAACATGAGAAAATATCAAATGAAAATCGTACCGGCAACACTTGGAAGATTGCATAAAATTACTTACAAATAATAATTTAAAAGTATTCGTCTGGTCTCCCAAAATGTAGAACCATCAAAATAGACCATTTTATTGGAAATTATACTTTCTCTATCACTTCTATTTTACTCTTAAAAGTTGAAGACACTCTTCATATATTATGCTTTTTGTAAGCTTTGTTGTAGTTATTCTTTTCAGCTCTTTGTTCATAAGATAACTCTGAATTGCAGAGGAAAATTTCTTTCTCTTCTCCAGTACTAAAGAGTAAGGGCAGCAAGAAATTATCATTTTTTTATGCTTTAGGCCAGATGCCAAAGAAATTTTCTTTGGAGCCAGCTGCCTAAATCCTGAGGGAGCCAGATCACTAAAATACCTCTCAGCATGAAATGTAGCAACCTGTCCCCTGGGCCACTGCGGACACAGGTGCCTCCCGCTCCTTCAGCCCTCAGACTCTGCTCTCTGCTCATGAGCAGGGTCTCCAGTGCTGCCACAGCCATATGTCTGTCTGTCTGTCTGTCAGGAGCTGCACACAAGGTGGGGGCAGAGCAGCCCTGTCTCTCTAGAGAGGCTCAGGGCAACCAGGGATCCTGAGGATGCCAGCAATCCAAGTCCCAGTCCCAGCACTGTCTGTTCAGCAGCCAAAGTGTCTTGGGCTGTGCAGCTCAATCAATGTGGAACAGCCCCAGTGCTCCTCAGGGACAACCCTGAGCTGCTCAGTTAGCCACAGGAAGGTCTGCCTTGGATGGAAATGCTGTCATCAGGAGCATTTGCAGTAGTACACCATAAAGAGAAGATGCACCTGAATGGAAGACTCAGCCTAACTTTACTCTAGGAAATGGAATGAGGAAAGGACATGAAGTGGAAGATGGATTAATATAATTTTTCTGATTTGTTCACGCTCTGTAAAGCAAACAGTCAAAAATATAATATAAACATAATTTCATTGAAAATTTCTCTCCATATAGGCATCACAGGCAACAAAATAGACTAAACCAAAAAGAAAGTTACTTTTTTTTTTTTTTTTTTTCGATTGGTAAGAAACTAGAAGTAATTGTCATGGTTTGACGCTGGTCCAATGCCAGTGGACCCATGAAAATATATTTTCCCTAGTTTCTGCTGTGAGATGTGACCAGGATTAGAGCAAAGCAGGCTCCAACTTAGGAATGAAGAAAAAAAACTTTATTACCCTACAACTGTATGTAAAAAGAATCACGTACAGAACTGAGAATGAAAACATTCCAAAAACCTTCCTCCTCCCCCCACCAAATTTTCAGTACATCATAGTAGGACAAAACCTTGGATTCTCAATTCAGCTACCACCCCTCAGGTAACCAACTCTCCGTCCATCATGTCCCTTCAGATAATCAATTCTCAGTTCATCAAGGAGTAAGGAGTCCCTCTTGTACCATAGGCTTCCCCAGGAAAAACAGTTGAAACCTTGTGTGTTTCCATGTCACATGTGGAAACACCACCCAGAGAACATTTGCCATTGTGACCTCTTCCTTCCCTGTACAGGCTCTCACCACTGCCCATGGACCAGAGCTGCTTCTAGGGTTCCCCTTTTAAGGATGCTTTGCCGAGTTCCAAAAAGAGCACGGTCTCTCACTTGTGGGACACCTGTCCCCCCCAAATTCACTCCCTGGGGC